ATAAATAAATGTCCTTAGAAGGCCCTTTCCCAGGAACACCTGACCACTGCCTTCCATTGTTGTTTGACTTCCTCCAATCATAGTAGCCTCTGGCTTGTAGGACTTCCTACTTGCTAGCTCAGGGGTTCTGGCAGAAATGTTGACATGGTACATATGTCCTATCATGGAGATAGGTTTGAGGCTACCCCAGGAAAAAGTTAACAAGATGCTATCTCAAAAGCCAGCTGAGTGTGGTGGTTCAGGCCTGTGATCCCAGCCACCTTGGAGACATAGTAGGAAGATCATGATCTAAGGGCAACAGTGTAAGGCTATATGAAAAACGGGCTAAAAACCAACGGATGAGGAGTATGGCTCAAGTGGTAGAGCACTTGCCTACCAATCTCAAGGCACTGAGTTCAATCCCCAGTACCATACAAAACAAAACCCAAACTGACAACAATAAAAACCCAGATGGCCCCAAACAATTAAAAGTCATTTCCAGGAGCTTGTCCTTCCAATAACAACTCTCCTACACAGTGAGCAGGAAATGAAAGAGAATATGTGGACACTAATTGGAAGAAGGAAAGGACAGGGCCAAGCTCGCACTGAGCATGAGCAAAGTGAAAGAAGGTATGAGCTGCGGCACAGTTCATGCTTCTGGCTTGTACTCTCCAGTATAAGCTCGGCCCTTTTAAAATAAGCATGATGGGGCTAGGAAGATGGCTCAGTGGTAGAGTGCTTGCCTTGCATGCCTGAGGCCCTGGGTTAGATTCCTCAGCACCACATAAGCAAAAAGAAAAAAGCCGGAAGTGGCGTTGTGGCTCAAGTGGTAGAGCGCTAGCCTTGAGCTGAAGAGCTGAGGGACAGCACCCAGGCCCAGAGTTCAGGCCCCATGACCGGACCCAAAAAAAAAATTAAAAAAAATAAATAAATAAAATAAGCATGACTATTCATTTAAAACAAGAGGCTCAGTATTTCTAAATTAAATAAATAAACCAACACACAAAGGGCTGTTTTCTCTCCTGGGATGTTAAAACAACAAGCTGGGTGGCTCTGGCTGGGAACCAACAATAACAGAATGGAGAACAGATGTTTTGTTCTCCCTGAGGGCCCATGTTGTCCACCCCATTCATTTGTACAAATAGGGAAACTGAGGCCCGGGGGTCACTCACCAAGGCAAGCTTGTCCAGACTCAAGTCTGTGGTAGACAAGGCTGAATATGGGTTGGTATTCCAGAAGAGGCAGCGGTGTTCACAACCCCATGAGGCTGAGGATCGCCGGTCCACCTCCATGTAAGGAGTCCAGTTCCTCTGAGCTCATGTCCTCAGCCCAGGGGATTGGGCTCTGCCCTCTGCTGCAGGCAGGAGCCCTAGCCTGGAAACTCCGAGCCACTGGCATCCCAGAGCTAGCGGTAACATGTGCGTGGTCTGGTGTGTGTGACAAGGCTTAGGAAAAGCCCTCAAATAAGCTGAGAGGTTAGGATTTTGAACTTGTGTCTGGATTACCACACAGTCCCCAACTTATGTTTTGGAAAATGAACACACTTCTCTGAGCTTTGTATGTGGAGAAGGTATGGCAAACACCTAACTCAGGGCTTGGTATAGAAGAGATGTTCAGGAAAAAATACTAGTTAATGAAAAAAGGTCCCGTGATCCTGTCTTTCCTTACCCCATAGCCAATCTCACACCAGAAATCACGGGGTCCCTGCCTGTGTCAGCTGCTTAAGCGAGGCCCTACCAAGGCTCTCTCCACTGATACTATGACTCGACATCCAGTGAGTGTAAAAGCTTTATGTAGGGTAGTTGTCAGGGCAATGCCAGCAGTTCTGCAGGCCTCCCCCCTCCCAGCGAGTTCTCTTATAGAAACAGGAAGAGTAGCCATGGTGACAGGTTGGTGGATGCGTGAAGGCAGAAGGCTGTTGAGGTGTTGGTGGTGAAGCAGGTGGTACTCATCTGGGAGCTGGTGCTATATTACGAGGGTGGCGATGGTGGGTGAGGGCCGAGGTGGCAAGCCATGGTTGGTTGGTGATATGGAGGTAAGGAAGAAAGCATTATGGATTATGCTGAGTAGGCCATTTAAATGTGCGGTGGACTCTAGGCATGGTGGTGCACACTTACAATCCCAGCACTTTGGAGGTCAGTGCCGGAGGATGGAGAACTGGAAGCCAGCCTGGATTATAGAACCCAGACCCTGTCTCAAAAACAAAAATGAAATGTGCAGGTGGCGGCAGAGGTGGAGGTGGCCAGGTGGCGTTCACAGAAGACGGTGATGTGGGCAGAGATGGTGAAAGTCACTGTGGCCAGGAGAAAGAGATGAGGAGCCCACAGGATGAACATTCTAGCCTGATGGCTCTGGCTTCAGGACACCAAAAAGGCCATCAAGGGGGAAGCTAACTGTCCATCCTCTCCACGGACACCAAAGTAAAGAGCGGCTAAGGATGAGGCTCACACCGTCCTGGATTTGCAACTGAAATCTGGTTGTTACCCTACCTGTTCTGAGGCCCTGTTCTGAACCGATGTTTTCATCCTTCCAGGACTGGCCTGGGAAGGCCTCAAGGCTGGTGTACCCAAAACTTCCCAGAAGAGCCGTTGGTCTGACCTGCGGAACTGCTTATAAGAAGCCGGGGCTCTCAGGAGCCCGAAATGGCCTACCAAATCTGCAGGCCTCACCCCCTCCTCCACAGGCCCCCCCAGCCCCCTGCCTCCGGATGAAGACTGGACCCACATTCTACCTGGGGAACCCAACCCAGCCCATGACACATCAAGGAGCAACTGAGCCTGTTCCTCTGGTCCTTTCCCAAGGCCACGGCCTTGTGCCAGCCCTGTTCTGGCCCAGGCCAGGCTTTCATTTGGTGAAATCTCCATGAGCATAAAAAAAAAAAAAAAAAAAAAAAGCACCCTAGCCCTGGGTGCAGGAATAAAAGACTGCCCCAGTGCTGACACACCAAGAACTGCAGGGCTCTCAACCTACATGTTTGGTAGCCTGGCCTACTTAGCAGCAAACTTACTGCGTGAACTCATGCACCATTCACATTCCGTCTTCAGCTACTGGAATGCAAACTACATGCCAGGGACTGCTCCCACACACCGCCACTCCAAAAGGCAAAAATCCTTGCCCTCACAGAGCTGTGTTTCAGGGAGGAGGAGTAATTAACAGTTTAGGTACACAGTATGTTCCTTGGTGGTAAGCGCTGCAGAGGAAAACAATCAGCAAAGGCAGCAGTTTGTGAACAGTCAGGAACAAGGTAGGGCCAGGGAAGACCTATTTAAAAATCGGATAGGAGGTGGTAAGGCGCATTCAAGGTGTGGGAGAGAAGGATCAAGAATGCTCAAAGGTTTAGGCTCTGGGCGATGGAAAGATAGGATGAGTGGCTGCTGACAGAGGTGACTAGAGATGGACAGGTTTGGGGCAGGGATGGAGAATGCCTAAAGTTCAGTTTTAGAGACTTTAAACCCGAGATGCCTATAGCTATCCAAATGTGGGTGCCAAGTAGGCCATTGGCAGAAGTCAGAGAGGTCTGAACAGAGACAGGCACTGTCAGTGTGTGGATACCTAGAATGTGATAGTAGAGGTGGTTCCTAGGTGCTAATGTGGTGGGGGAGGGGAGGTAGTGGGGAATTGGGGACCATAAAAGCCATCCAGGACCTGACTTAGACAAGCCCTCTTATCCAGCCACTGCATTCTTACCACACTCTCAGCCTGTTCTTTACTGCTTGGGGAGAACGCTCACAGAAAAGCATCTTGACCACATTGCTTTCACTCACGATCTTTCACCTACAGGCATGCACACACATCCTCTCAGCTCTGAGGGCTCATAGAAACTGCCTTAGTGACCCAAACAGGGGCCACAAAGACACCACTTCCAACCTTGTGTCACACTGCTGTGCACACACTGGGGTGCCCCCTGCCCTCTTCCCACCCTGGATCTCAGATCCTAAGGCAGAACGGCTGCCGCCGTGGATGGCACTGGCAGCACGTCCTGAAGCGGCGCCAGGTCCTGATGAAGCAGCCCGAGCATGTAGGAACACAAAGTCAACGCAAGTACAATGACACCAGGTAGTAAGGAGCATGGAGCAGTAGTGTGTGTGTGTGTGTGTGTGTGGTAGGGGGGGGTTGCAGAGGGGCTGTGGGAGCCAAGGGGACACCTACAACAGCCCAGGGTGTCAGGGAGGACTTCCTAGAGGACACAACATCTCACCTGGCTTTGTAAGTAAGAGTGAGCCAGACAGGTGGGGGGAGGGACGCCATCGTTAGCTTACACAGTTGATGCCAAGCACGCCAGGAAAAGACAAGATGAAAGCGGGGGAGGCCTGCCTGAAGACCAATTTCACAGGAATCTGGGGTTATATAATAAGCAGGGAAGGTGGGTAGGGACAGGTTTGATCCAAAGGCCCGGCTTAGAAGCCTGTGGGTGGTCCTGTGGGTAGACCACCCACAACCCAGGCTCCTGATGAGCCTGTTAAACATTCAAAGACCTGGCCACATTATCTATGCAAGCACACAGGAGACCAAGTGATTCTGATGCACACTGCAATTAAGAGAACCACGTCTGCCTCTCCCTTTTCTCCTGGGGGAAGGGGACTGGTTTTCAGGGCCCTCCAAAAGCAGGATTCATTTCCAAGGTAATGGATTAGGATTACAGCCAAACCCAGGGAGTACTGGGAACTATGATCAGACCAGGGTGGGGCAAGAAGGCGAGCAGGAGAGGAGGAGAAGGGATTTCTAACAGGGGTAGGAAGAAATGAAGAGGGGCACCAGCAAGCAGGCCCTCGTCCCTAACTTCCAAGACCTCAATGGGAAGAGGCAAAGAACCAGGAAAACAGCAACTTTTGTTATTTTGGGGGGGGTCCAGTTGTGGGGCCTGAACTCTGGGCCTGGGCGCTGTCCCTCAGCTCTTCAGCTCAAGGCTAGTGCTCTACCACTTGAGCCACAGTGCAACTTCCAGCTTTTTCTTCTTATGTGGTGCTGAGGAATTGAACCCAGGGCCTCATGCATGTAAGGCAAGCGCTCTACCACTGAGCCACCTTCCCAGCCCCAACAGCCACTTTTTTATTTCACAAGTAAATCTCACCCACCACAGTGATACAAATTCTTCCACACACCCAGTTACCCAGCTCAGTGCTCCCCAGAGAACTTCCTGCAGCGATGAGAATATCCTTCCAGGCTATCCAAAGCAGCTACTGAGTGCTTCAAGTGTGGCCAGCGGAGGAAATACACTTTTAAGTTAATTTAAATTTAAATACATGTGGCTCGTGACTACCAGGCTGGACCACACAACTCTAGGCCTTGTCCGGTCCAGGGGTAGCTGGTTGGAAAGCCAACTCTGGAGAGAACATGGACAGAAGAGCCCTGGGAGTCATCACCGCCCCTCTACAGGGAGGGGTCCAGCTGCAACTGCTGAAGAAGGAGTGTCTCAGAGAGGGGGGACACCACGGAGACGCCGGATGATGTTGGCTAGCTTCTTGGCCAGGCCACCTGTGCTGGGTTCCTCAATGTGGAAGGTTCGGGTGAGGAGGTTGTAGAAGGAGCCGTAGCACACGGCCACCACAGTGCATGTGAGGCAGATCACGTTGTAGGGCATGCTGAAGTCTGGCGTGGGCAGGTTCACCAGCAGCGGCTCTGTGTAGAGCCGCACAAAGTAGCTGGAACCATCGGAGACTGGGAAGCTGGTGAGTGGAGAGGCTGTGGTGAGGCATGGGGGCTGCTTCACCCCATCACCCCAACCTTGCTGGGCAGCTGCACTGAACCCACACTGCACTCAAAGGGCTCCCAGAGTTCTCCCAGCCTCGAAGCCTTTCAAGGAAGGCATCTTACAGGAAAGCTCAATACACACATACGCCAGACCACAGAATGGGCTGTGGCCAACTGAAGCCTTCACTTGGCTGCCTATTTCTCAGTGCTCAAAGAAGCCTTCCTAAATAATCTACTGGTTCAATTCCCCATCACTCACAACCTTCCCTCCACAACAGTTTGACATCGGACAGTTAGCACAGAGAGATCAGGGACACACTATGTCTGGTGTTCTCTGCAGCCCCCACAATGCGCTAAGTACTCCGTGATTATTTGTTAAGAGGATCCATGAGTAAATTTAGGCCATCAATACTGTGATTCTCACCTACTTATTCTAGAAGCACTTCAGAATCATTTTAGCAAATCACCACAAATTTTATAGGTCACCAGGAGCTCTATTAGGACTGAAGAGGTAACACCTCCATCAACCTACCCTGCAGAGGCCCAATCATCTGTGTAATGCCCAGCAGGTAGGGTGTGCTCACACTTACAGGGTGTTGAAGAGAGGGCTCTCTTCCCAGTCTACAGGCTTGGCTGCCACCACGCTGGGCACAAGGGCGCTGAGGACTGAAGGGCTGCAGAGAAGCAAACAAAAGGCTTATGCTCTTCACTGGCTTCCTAGCCAAAGGGCAAGAAGCACAGATTTGAGTGGGTCACAAGGGTGAGGGCATCTGGGGGTGGATCCCACCTGACATAGAAGCCGTGGTTGGGGTCTGGAGTGTACTCGGTCCACTTGAGCAGAGCTCGCTCAAACTGGATAGAGACCTTGGTAACTGAGTTGGCTGGCAGCTGAATCAGCATCTCCAGGAGGTGGGGCTGTTGCCGATCCTGAGCGGGCTGGTAGTGGATGTAACCTGGAAGCAGGTAAGGGCCACCCAGACTTTGTTGCTATGGCTAGACAGCCAATATTTCCTACCACTTTCCTTGGAGGCCACAACCTGGATGTCTACCAGGGTAGACTTTGGACAATAGGAGGTAGGGCTGGCTAAGAAAGAAGCAGGGTCTCAGAAAAGGGAGAACGTTTTCAGGGCAGCAATCCCAGGACCAGCAATCCCAAATAAAGAAAGACTTGTGAAGAATACAACAGACGCTGGGGATTTGTGGCTCACACCGGTAATCCTAGCTACTTGGTAGGATGTGATCATTGGGATCAGAATTCAAGAGCAGCCTGGGTAGAAAAACGTTTGTAAGATCCCCTTCTCAATGATGAGTTTGACATGACAGTGCATATCTGTCATCCTAGCTATAAGGAAGCCTAACACAGGTGGATCAAACTCACGTGCAGGCCCTGGCAAGAAGTGAGACCCTATTTAAAAAATGAACAAAAATCAGGACTGGAGGCATGGTTTGGCAGAAAGAGTGCCTGCTTGGCATTACAAAGCCCTGAGTTCAAAACCCCAGAACAGAAAACAAAACAAAACAAAACAAAACAAAAAACCACTGCAGGCTACTTAATCGATCTTCACATTGCTGAAACTGGGGCACCAGTCACCAAGTGCTTGATGTGACACAAGATGAAGTTCACAGAATCACTTGGGAATTTTGCCAAAAATAAAGAACATAAATCTAATCAAGTTTCTAAATCTAACCACTAATACACAAGAAATACAAGGGAATGAGGGACATATTAAACACTAGCACGAAGACAAATCTAGAAAGTAGAACATTCTGTGCAATAAATGACCTATTTTCTTCAACAAATAAAATAGCACATTTAAAAAAAAAAAAAAAAGCATGTGAACTGAACTGTTATAGATTAAAAGAGACTTCTGACTGAGGATACAGCTCTGGAATAGCAAACGTACCTAGCAAAGGCCTTGGGTTCAATCCTCAGTATAAGAACAGGGGAGAAAAGAGAAAGGAAGGGATGGGGAGGAAGGGACAGGAGAAGACAGATGGAAGGGGAAGATACAGGAAAGAGAAAGAGGAGAAGGGAAATACGGAGAGTGGAAAGGAGGAGGGTAGAGAGAGAAAAATGAAAGAGGCCATGAATAAAAGTGACAGGAGGTGCCAGGCGCCAGTGGCAGGGGTTGAACTGAAACCCCTTTGCGCAACTACTTAAAGATAATGTAAAAAATAAATTTAAAAATTGCTGAGTGCCAGTGGCTCAGGCCTGTAATCCTAACTACTCGAGGCTGAGATTTCAGGATCATTCCAATCAGAAAAGTCTCTAGACTCTTATTTCCAATGAACTACCAAAAACTTGGAATAGAGCTGTGGCTCAAGTAGTAGAGCTCTAGCCTTGAGCAAATGAAGTTCGGAGACAGTGCCCAGGTCCTAAGCTCAAGCTCCAGAACTGGTAAAAATAACTTTTTAACTAAATAAAAAGTTAAAAAATACCCAGGCACTGAGCTGGGCGCCAGTAGCTCACGCCTGTAATCCTAGCTACTGAGGAGGCTGAGATCTGAGGATCACAGTTCAAAGCCAGCCTGGGCAGAAAAGTCCATGAGACTCTTATCTCCAATTAACCACCAGAAAACCAGAAGTGGTGCTATGGCTCAAGCGGTAGAGTGCTCATCTTGAGCTGAAGAGCGTAGGGATAGCACCCAAGCCCAGAGTTCAAGCCCCATGACCAACCAAAAAAATAAAAATAAAAAAAATACCCCGGAACTGGTGGCTCATGCCTATAATCCTAGCTACTCAGGAGTCTGAGATCTAAGTATCCCAGTTCAAAGCCAACCCGGACAGGAAAGTCCGAAAGACTCTTATCTCCAATTAACCACCAGAAAACCAGAAGTGGCACTGCGGCTCAAGTGGTAGAGCGTTCATCTTAAGCTGAAGAGCTCAGATAGTGCCCAGACCAAGTTCAAGCCATATGACCGACAAAAATAAATAAACAAATAAACAAACCAAAGTTAAAAAATAAAGGTGACAAGAGACTAGAGACTACCGAAGGTATCTTCACTTACTCTGTTTGTGTAGATGTTCAAAATTCTCCAAAATAAAAGGTAAAACACTGAACAAACATAAAAATATAAAGTACCTAAGTAGGATGTTTGAAATACAGATTTTGAAGATGGTACAAATAATAGGACTGAAAATATGTAAAACCATTAACTAGAGGTTTGAAAGTATGGGAAAACAATAGATGTAAGGAATTTTCAGTTTAGCCCCTGGGATATGGTGGTACAGCCTCTTTAAGAAGTCCTTCTACAGGGGCTAGGAAGGTGGCTCAGTGGTAGAGCACTTGCCTTGTATGCATGAGGCCCTGGGTTCAATTCCTCAGCACCACATAAGCAAAAAGAAAAAAGCTGGAAGTGGCTCTATGGCTCAAGTGGTAGAGCGCTAGCCTTGAGCTGAAGAGCTGAGGGACAGCGCCCAGGCCCAGAGTTCAGGCCCCACGACTGGACCCAAAAAAAAAAAAAAAAAAGTCCTTCTTCCTTATCAGCATCCATACGCCAAAGAAAAACAAGTTTAGTGCTATGCTGGGCACCTAATAGGAAGCTCTCAGCAAATCTTCATATGAAGAAAGATCACAGAAAATAAAAATCTCCCAAATGGCACCTCTTTACCCACCCAAGAAAATGAAAAAGCACCATCTCATCCCTGCCACCTTTTTAGTTCCCATGACCTGTTTCTCTTGGCGAAGTTTTTCTCTATCTTAGCATCATAAGACACAGGATATGCCCACGGGTCCAGGGAGAAGGAGACAGTGAACATACCGAGCTGCTCTCCTGACACTGTCCTCCTGAGAAGCGTCAGTAGCATGTGTCCTAACTGTTCTTACTTCAGTCACTTACTTCTCAATCTGGCCCCTGTTCCACTTTTCAAATGACTCCTAACTCTATGCCTGTGGAAGCTTTTAGACATAGTTAAGAAGTGAAAGCCTATGGACACTGGAGAGAAGGAACGGGAGAGGGCGAAGGAGTCTGGGGTGGGACTCAGCTCCTTACTTGGTTTGTTCTCCTTGCCCTTGGAGGTGATGGTGAGGGTGTGCACGTACAGCCGCAGGTACCAGGGCACTGCATCCAGGAGCAGCACGGGAAAGGCCCGGTAAGGGTGAGTGTTGTACAGCAGTGTGCTCAGCTCTCCCTTCTGCAGCCCATAGCCACTCACGTATCGCTGAGCATGCAGGAAGGGAACTGGCGGGACCTCTGCATAGAGAAAAGTCAACACTTAGTTGTTCTTAAAGAAGCCCTTGAACCATGTTCGGGGTGCCAAGCCAGAGAGTAGTTGGGAGAAAGCTTTCGCATTAGATCTGGGCAAACTGGGCTACGAAGCATCCCTGTTTTCCATAGCCAAAAGCAATGATAAGGGGATTACTACTATTAAGAGCTTATGGGCCCAGCACTGACCCCCCCTCCCAAGCCAAATGAGGTGCTCCACCACTTCCCTTGGCAATACTAAATACAAGTAACTAACTGATGCTTCCCCTTGTCACGCAGTTTCTTGTCACACTGTGTCTTCTGGCTTTTTCACCACTCTATGACTGGTGCATAGTAGGAATTAAACATATCTCATTAATTGAATGAATACATAAATAAACTTCATATCTTACATGAAATACCTCCTTCAGTCCACTGTGCTGCAGTTCTGGACACTTAAGGCTCAATGGGCTTAGGACTTTAGTCACAGAGCTTGGAAAAGGCAGGGTTAGAACCAAGATCCCATGACTACAGAGACCTGGGTGTTACGTACACCCTATGACCTTATAACAAAGACATAGGTAAGTCTATGTCTGAAGCCTGCTGCCTAGGGCCCATCCTTCACTTACCAGTCTCGGAAGGTCGCTTCCACTTGAACTGGAGGTTGAGGTTTCGGGAATTATTGACCATGGTTGGGTCAAACAGGTCATAGACAGCATAGGTCTTGCGGGTTCCTAGGATGACGTCCTGGTATGTGGTAGTGGGGGGTGGGTTCACCTCCAAAGTCTCATTGTTCTGAGAATACAAGGGCAGGCTTAAACAGCAAGCAGGGGAACAAGGTGGCTTTGGGGAAGAGGGTGTATGCATGGGGACACATTGGTACCTGGTTGAAGCCAGTGATATCCACATAAACTCGGCTCTCTGAAGCCAGCGGACAGGGCTCTGTGAGAGTTCGGGAGAACATTCGGAAAAGGGACCAGTCTGAGAAGCAAAGAACAGGGTTGAGCAGGGGCTGGGGATGGACCTGGACATGGGTAGGGCAGGATTGGGACAGGTAGATAGAGATGAACTGTCAAAGGAGTTTACCTTTCATCCCCTGCCCCGTGATAAAAGTGTCAAATACAACTGAAAGGGTCTGCCTCAGCTCCCAGGAGATGCTGGTACAGCGTGCATCCTACAAGAGTCAGAAGGCATCCGTGAAGGCCATCAAGGACTTGGCCTGGATACAGTCCCTGATCTTTACATCTTTGGATGCATTTGCTCTGGACATTACTGAGGATTTGACCCTGACCATACACTGGGCTGGCAGCTTTATGTGCATCAGTTTGATGAACTATGCCAACAACCTCAGGAGCTGATTCTCCAATTATTCTCCTGGGACAGATGAGGGGAGGAGGCCCATGGAAATGAAATGATTCACTCAAGGTCATGCCAGCTGGCCAGTGATATAGCCAGCAGTTTCATTTCCATAGCTGCCATTCCAATTCGTGGTGCTCTGGGACACAGATTTATAGAGTGCTCTCCAGGCAATGGCTCAATTTTCCTGATACACAGGCAACATCCCACAAAATCAGCATCAAAACTGCCACTTACTACTCAACCTGTGCTAATCTTTACCTCCTGCACCTTCTCTCCGACCCCAGATCTCCATTCCCCATGACTTACTCTACAGATAGGGCGGATATGTATGGCCTGGGAGTGGTAGCTGGTGTGGAACAGGCGATCTGCCTTCAGTAACACAGAGAGGCCTGCCTGGAAGAGGCAGGAAGAGATGAAGGGTCAGCACCCTGTGTGGAGCATCTGGCGTGGGATGCAGTCTCTTAAATACATCCTGGTTGCTAGGTTGAAGAGGCTTCTGTTAATTCCATCTCCTCTTTAGGGCTCTCACCCTATACTGAGCCCACTCACCTTAGAACTACAAGGTAAGAGCTTCTTCCATGGAGTGAGGTTCTCGGTACAGACAACTTCCCGTGGCAGCACAGCGTAGCGCAGGAAGTAGTGATCAGTGTCTGTGGAAGACAGAGGTAAATCTAGGGTGGCCTCAGGGCTCTGCCCCTCAGTAGCTACACTCCAGAAATACTCCTCTGGCTCCCCATACTTTAGCACCACCACCCAAACAGACCCAGTTTGGGGTGGGACTCCCTCCCCTTGGGGAGAAGGCGATGCAGAGTCAGCAGTCTTGGGGAACCTTCCTGAGCCCTGTGGATGTACAGGGCTTAGGACCTAGCCAAGGCATAAGAAGGAACTGTGGAAACAGGAGGCAAAGGTTTGGGCAGGTACCAGGCAGAAGAAAAAGGCTGCAGGGGCTTATCTCACCATTGGCCAGCCCCAGGGGTTTGAAGGAGGCAGTGGGAGTGACTGTGTTGGTCGAGTCAATGAAGTTGAGAGAGGCACAGAAGATCCCTGAGAGCACATTACTGAGCTCCTTCCAAGATGTGTCCACACTGGATAGAGACACAAACCCGCTCACTGTTCTGGGGCTACCTCTGCTTCCTCATACAAAGCCCACAGTTAGATATCATGCTCAAGGTAGCTGGCTACATTTTTGGGGAAAGGGCAGGAGTACTGGAGCCTCCAACTTGCTAGGCAGGTGCTCTAACGCTACATTTGCTCACCCTCCCTCCATGTGCTTCCCCTTCTACCTCCTCACCAAAGCGTGTTTCCACTTTGGTATTTATTTTGAAAAAAGTAATTAGTTGTTTAGAGGAGTTACACCTTTGGATTCCCCCTTAAAGATACCATCCTTAAAAAAAAAAAAAAGATACCATCCTTTAGTTAGTTGGTGTGTAAATGCATAGAGCCCTGTATGTTATCATACATGTTTGTATTTTTTTTTTTTTTGGTCGGTTGTGGGGCTTGAACTCTGGGCCTGGGCGCTGTCCCTCAGCTCTTCAGCTCAAGGCGAGTGCTCTACCACTTGTGCTACAGCGCCACTTCCGGTTTTCTGGTGTTTTATTGGAGATAGGAGTCTCACGGTCTCTCCTGCCCTGGCTGGCTTTGAACCGCGATCCTCAGATCTCAGCCTCCTGAGTAGCTAGGATTACAGGCGTGAGCCACCAGCGCCCGGCCCACTTGTTTGTATTTTAACTTTAGCTTCCACATATGAGAGAAAACATGTATCATTTGTCTCAGAGTTACTTCGCTTTTTCTTCCTCTTCCTCCCCCTCCTTCTCTTTTTGCTGGTCCAGGGCTTGAACTGAGGGCCTAGACACTGTTCCTGAGCCTGTTTGTGATCAAGGCTAGCACTCTACCACTTCAACCACAGCACCACTTCTGGCTTTTTCTGTTTATGTAGTACTGAGGAATCGAAACCAGGGCTTCATGCATGTTAGGCAAGCAATCTATCACTAAGCCACATTCTCAGCCCCGACTTTTTTAAGCCCATCCATTTCCCTGCAAATGACATAACATTATTCTTTCTAATGGATGAGTAAAATTCCATTGTGTATATGTACCATATTTTATTGATCCACTCATCCACTGTAGGGCATCTGGACTGTTTCTGTAACTTGGCTATTGTAAACAGTGCAGCAATGAACATGGATGTGCAAGTATCTTTACTGTATCCTGACTTGCAATGCTCTGGGTGGATGCCCAAGAGTCGTACTGCTGGATTGTAAGGTAGTTCTATCTTCAGTTTTTTGAGGAATCTCCAAACTGCCTTCCAGAATGGTTATCCTAGTTTACATTCCTACCAAAAGTATAATAGGGTTCTTTTTCCCAGCATCCCTGCCAGCAACTGTTATTGTTCGAATTCTTGATGCTAGCCAATCTTACTAGAATGTGATGGAATCTGGATATTGTTTTGATTTGCGCTTCACTTGTGGCCAGGGACGTTAGATGAGGAGATGCATTCTTAACAATTAGGCTTGGTGATGGAGTTAGAACACCATTGCCCTTGCTCAGTTCACTTTCTGGTTTCATGCTGCTCAGCCCCTTCTTCCTTGATCGCCTGCTAAAGTTCCTGTGTCCTCATGGATCATTGTTCTGATGGTTCTTCTTGTGCGGGAAAGCCCTCTTCACTCTTCTTGGCCCACCTTAAACCTTCAGCTCTAGTCCTTGGCTCCTCCTTCAGGAAACCTTTCCTCCTCTCCTCGAACATACCCTCCCCTGCACTGCTACAGTTCTGAATATCTAAGCCTCTCACCAGGTCCCTGAAGGAAGATCGCTAGGTAGCAGCAGCATCTTGTCCTAGGTACCTTTTCTCTTCAACTAGGTTGTGAGTAATGTGAGTAATTTGACAAAGACTAGTCTGGGCTACCTATGTACTTCCCATACCAGGAAAAATGTCCCACATTTTGGAGCTGGTATCAGCGCACTGATTTTCCCTGAGTTTACGCAGCTGGCAAAAAAACAGACTGGGCCCTGTGAATATGCTGGGCACGAGGGTTACTCCTGGTTCTACCCTCAGAAACCTGCTACCTAAAAATCTCACTGAACAAAGGAAAAACAGCCATTCTATGACCCTATGCAAGCGTCAAATTAAAATAAGGTGTTTCTGGGATGGAGATGTAGCTCATTGGCAGAGCTCCTGCCTGATACGTTTGAGGCCCTAAATTCAACCCTCAGCACTGCAAGTAAATAAATTAGGTGTTGTTTTCTCAAATATCAAGAGACTTATTCTCTATAATAATAAAATCCATAAAACTTAATAAGCACTAGAACTTAAAATAACAGCTCTATAGCATGGGCAACTGTGAGCTAAGGGAGACAATACTAGCAAAACAGATAACAAACAAAAAAAAAGGCAGCAGGTTAAGTGGGAGAATTCCAACAAGTTTAAGGCCAGCAGCCTGAGCTACATAATGCGAGACCCTGCCTGGAAAAGAAAACAAACAACCGGACACAGTGGCACTCAGAAGATTGAGGAAGAGGGTCACTGAGTCTGAGACCAGCCTGGGCTATATAGTGAAATCCTGTCTTAAGCCCCTCTTACTGCAGGCCAATTCTAGTCCACACATCATGTTGGCATGGATGGTACTTTTTTTTTTTTTTTTTTGCCGTCGTGGGCCTGAACTCTGGGCCTGGGCCCCGTCCCTGAGCTCTTCAGCTCAAGGCAAGAGTTCTACCGCTTGAGCTACAGCACCACTCCTAGTTTTCTGTTGGTTAATTGGAGATAAGAGTCTCTTGGACTTTCCTGTCCAGGCTGACTTTGAAGAGCGATCCTCAGATCTCAGCCTCCTTAGTAGCTAGGATTACAGGCGTGAACCACTGGCACCTAGCTGATACTTACTTTTTAATGAAGGACTTATCTGTTTAAAAGTTACCCATTTTGCCTATTTGTTATGTCTTTACATCCAAAACAAGAACCAATCATTGCTTATCTGTCACTGTAGGGAAATACACGTGTATTTCAGACTCAGATCTGAAAGTACTAGGGGAGGGAAGTACCCTTTACAAAGTAAAGAAAGCTATTCTGTGGTACTAGCATGTCTTACTTCCAAAGCCAGCAGTAGAGCCATAGTATCCCTGCCCACCGGAAGCACTACCCCTCAAGGACAGTGGCAGAATGGCAACCCCTGCCCCGCCACACCCCCCCACCCCTATGACCCCCAACAGGGCCTACGGTGGGCACTCACTCAGTGACAGTGTCTTGGAACCAGACCCAGAGCTCTGCACCTGAAGGGGCCTGCAGAAAGGGTGGCCCCCAGTACCGGGTCCTCCAAAAGCCTTGCGTGAATGACAGGTGCAGCTCCCTCAGAGAGTATTTGGAGATCAGCTGCCCCAGGGCCTTGGGGAAGAGCCTGTAATGAGACACTGGAGAGAGCGAGCAGCTGAGTGGCGACGCCCACTGGACGGGACCCCCCTGGGCGACCGCGCCCCACCTCTAGGGACAGGCCCTTCCCCACGCCCAGCAGGTGCCACGGAAGTTTTTCGGGTCAGACCTCCTTCCCGCTGCAGCTCCGAATCCCAGCGTGTACGGAACTGGAACGTAGCGGCGACGTCCCCGGAGGGCAGCGGGGTGATGACGAGCTCCTCCCGCAGGCTGTCGCGAGGGGGCTGCGCGCGACCCCAGGTGCCCGGTCCCAGGAGCAGTACTACCAGTAGCCGGAGCGGCATGGCGGCCGCCATGGCCGCAGCTGCTTCCGCCTCCCGGCACTGCCCACTGCCACGGAAAGCCCTCATCCAATAGGAAGAGGAGGTGTGGGAGGGACTTCCGCTATTGTGCCGGAAGTAGGGCTTGCGTTACCAAGGTTACCGCCGGGAGGGACCGCGGGGGTCTTTCCAGGGCCGCTCTGGGAACCTGAAGGACAGTGGGCGCGCGGCGGTGGTGGGCGCACCAGAAGGCGCTTAGTATACGGAACACGGCCATTGTCATTTGCTAGTTGAGGAGACAGTGAAAAGGTCAGTGACGTTCATCAGGTCACACTGCCGGGCTAGCGCCGCCCTCAGCCTCTCGAGACTGGGAGTCGGGGTGGGGTGCCCGAGCTTTCCTATCAGCCCCATAAGCGTCCTTGTGTCAGGAAAGCTTACAGCACCTGGACAGTGAACGTGTTTTCCCATCGCCTAGATTTCACCATTAGCATTTTACCGTACCTGATGTTTATCACATCCATCTTTAAACCCTTTGATTCCTTTAGTCTGCCTTATTAGTAGTAGTAGTATTTGGTGGTACTGAGGTTTGAACTCAGAACCTGGAGGTTGTTAGGCGGGAGCTGAACTACCTGAGCCACACCTGTTTTGATGCATCTAAATCACACATGTTAGCACACTTCTTCCTAAATAGCTCGAAATGCGTATTAACTCAAATATTCATGTCTCTCTCTCTCTCTCTTTCCTGCCCCAGCAAGCTTTGAACCATGATGCTCAGATCTCAGCCTCCTGACTCAGCTAGGATTACAAGTGTGAGCCACCAGTACTGGTTTTAATGTTTTTCTTTTGGTGTAAAATTAATATACAGTAAAATGCACAAATTTGAAATGTACTTTCACAGTTTGTCAAAAAATTAATTAAAAAAAAACCACATTCATTAATGTACCTCAAGCAAGTGGATTACTCCAAAACCTGGAGCTGGGGATGTAAGGCAGTGATAGTTTGTCTACCTTTATGCCTAAGACTTTGGGTTCGTACAAACACACACACACACCAGAAACTTAAAACTCCAGGAAGATGGATAGTGTTTCTTCTCAGTCAAACCCTACCCCCGTACCACCTTCAGAGGCACCCAATATGTTCTGATATTTTCCCATAATAGACTTGATCTAGAGCTAAATAAAAATGAAATCACCATATCGTTTGCAACTTTATGTAAGACTTCTAATGGGGGGAGTAGTGTCTTTGAGAATCATTCATGTCCTTGGATATATCAGCAGTTTTTTTTTTCTTTTTATTGCTGTGCAGTATTAACAATGTGGATAAGTCATAGTTTGTCCATTTTTCTATTAATGGACATCTGAGTTTTTGTTTTGCTTATTGTGAACAAGGCTGTTAGTAATCTGTACAAATGTCTTTGTAGACCTATATTTATTATATATCCTTCAGGCAGATATTTAGAATTGCGGTACCAAAGAGGTGTGTTGGGTTTTATAGTAACTATCAGATCTTTCTCAAAATGTGACATTTATTCTTGTACCGATAATATGTGAGAGTTCAGGTGGCTCCACATCATTGACCATGCTTGGTGTTTGTTCGGTGGTGGTGGTGGTGGTGGTGTTTGGCCAGTCCTGGGGCTTGAACTCAGGGCCCAGGCCCTGTCTCTGAGCTTCTTTTGCTCAAGGTAGCATTCTACCACTTGAACCACAGTGCCACTTCTGGCTTTTACTGTTTTACTGAGGAATTGGACCCAGGGCTTCATGCATGCTAGGCAAGTACTCTACCACTAAGCCACCTTCCCAACCTGTTTGGTTTTTTGTTTTTTTTTTAACAAATTTTTTTTTAAAAAATTTGGTCTCAGCTACTTGGATGTATATGTAGTAGTATCTCATTATGGTTTTAATTTGGAATTTTCTAGTAACTAATGATATTTAGTTTTTTGTTTTGGTTAGTCATGGGGCTTGAACTCTGAGCCTGGGTGCTGTCCCTGAGTTCTTCAGCTCAAGGCTAGTGCTCTACCACCTGAGCCACAGCGCCACTTCGCTTTTCTGAGTAATTTATTGGAGACAAGAGTCTCATGAACTTTCCTTCCCTGGCTGGCTTTGAACCGAAATCCTTAGATCTCAGCTTCCTGAGTAGCTAGGATTACAGGTCTGAGTCACCAGCACCTACTAAGTATCTTTTTTTTTTGGTTGGTCATGGGGCTTGAACTTATCACGCTTCTCAGGCACTATTCCTGAGCCATTTTGTGCTCTAGAGCTCTACCACTTTGAGCCACAGTGCCACTTCCAGTGTTTGGGTGGTTAATTGGAGATAATTTCACAGACTTTCCTGCCCCAGCTGGCTTTGAACTTCCATCTTTGGATCTCAGCCTCCTGAGATTATAGGCATGAGCCATTGGCACTCTGCTTGGTTATGTTCTTATCCATTGTGTATCTTCTCTTGTGAAAAGGCCTGTTAAAATCTTTTGTGTCTCCTTGTTTCTTACTTTGTTGCTTCTACTTTTCTTACTTTGTCTTACTTGCTCTTATTTGCCTTATTATTGAGTTATAGAAATTTCAATATTAAATTCTTTTCAGTTTTTCCACCTATCCTATGGAAAACACATTAATGAAAGATTTTGTAAACAGTGTCTTGGTAAATCTCAAATCTATGAAACAAATAAGGTATCTCTTGATAGACTTCCAACCAGAAAAGAAGTGTCAGAAAGATGTCTTTTACTTCATGCCCTCATTCTCCCTACATCCAATGTTCCATCCTCCATTAGACATAAAGAGGAATGCCATAGTTAGATTGATGTGGGTTCAAATCCCATCAGTTATGCTGATCATTTTGTACTTGTAGGCTTTTCTTTTGAAATTGCCTGCCCTCATCATTCAAGACCCAGCCACTCCCAGTGAAGACTTGCCTTCCTTCTCATTCTCTAGTGAACTACAGTCCTCATCCTCATCATCTTTCTAATGTTTATGGCCAGGTCTGTTCCTGGAAGAGATCATTGTCTTTCTGATGTCTATGCTGTGCAAGTGGGTAGCATACAGTAGTCATACTCAATGTTTAATGAGCAGAATAATAGAACATCATAGCAGAGATGTTTGTGTTCCTACGTGTCATGCTGCTTAAATTCTGTGTAGTCCTGGGAATTTCTGTAACATGAGCTTTTTAGGGAATCATCTGAGCTGTGACCCCTCCTATTTCCCGCAAAGCATAGGGTTCTACAAGGATGAGTTTGTTTGCCCTTCTCTCCAGAGCCTGTCATAATGTCTACTGGTAACAAGTCTATACAACAGAAAGAAACCACACTGTGGCTTGGAGATTAAAAGCTAGTCTCTATAACTCAAGAGTTGGCAACATACCATCCTCCCATCTCCAAGGGTACTATGTGCCCTTAGAAAATAGTCAGCTGGAGATGGTGACTCTGAAGGCCAGCCAACCCCCTGTGGTTTGGCAAGCAGAGAGGTCATTGTCTCCATCAGGAAGTGGTCCTGTGGTCTCAGCTGACCCTAGGCTTTTTCATACAGGGCTGGGGCTCAAAGCAAGTGAATTGAAGGTTTCCCAGAGACACACAAACAATTCTTCTCAAGAGGACTATAGATCTCTCTCTCCACACAGGCTCCCTCTCCCAAATCCCACAATCTTAGCATTGTGTGCCTGGGGTACTAAAAGACTTGTTGGCATGTTGATGGCAACCAAACTCATACAGCTTCCCATCATTTACTCTAGAGGAAAGCGGGGGGGGGGGGGGGGGGTGACCTGAGAACTGAGAAGCCCTGCATAGCAGAACAGTGGTGTCACAGGCCATAGCAGGCTGAGCCAGTCAAGGCAGGAGCTAAAGTCCTGCTACTCTGAAGGAAGAAAGGGGGAAAGCACAAGAGGACGTGGGACTATGCCACCTACATACAGCAAAGTCATAAACAACAGAAAAACCCTAGAGGCTAACATAAGACCAGGCCCTGGCTCAGCTTAATAAATGATCTCAACTTGGACCCAGGGGCTTTTGGACAAAAGGTATAAAGCCCACAAGCTTCCTGGAGACTGGGAAAGGCTGAAGGACCCTCCAGCTTCCTTGGAGATCCCACGTTGCTGTTTTTAAGAAGGGCATTTAAGAATGGTTTCTTACAATGGCCTCCTATAGGGTGACAATAAGCTCATACTATAGGAAGACAGAAATCCTGTCACTCAGCTTGTGTGACAGAGAGCTGTAAAATTTAGGCTGAAGCTCACTTATCCCATTGGTAGTATTCAGACATAGAAGGATGAGCAAAATGGAATGACTTTTTAATGTGAAAAACTGGTTATGTTCCTTAAGTCTATAACCTCTCTTTAATACAACAAACAATGGACGAGTTAATTCACATGCATGGCTATACTTACCAGTCAAATTGATAACTCATCTTTATTTTTCCAACTCAATCCTCTTGACCGAATTCCACATCCATGGGTTAAGATGCACCTAGTCAACAAGCCCTTCCCTTGGATGTCTCCAAAGCACTGCAAACTCAATATGTCTCAAAACCAAATTTACACCTTTCCCAAACCTGGTTCATTTCTAACCTCACCCATCTGGGTGAGGTGCCTCCAAACCATCCTGTTGCAGGAGAAACAATGGCAGCATACTTAACCCCTTCCTCTCACTCACCCATCAAAAATCTTTTGGAGGGCTGGGAAGGTGGCTCAGTGGTAGAGCGCTTGCCTTGCATGCCTGAGGCCCTGGGTTCAATTCCTCAGCACCACATAAGAAAAAAGAAAAAAGCCAGAAGTGGCGCTGTGGCTCAAGTGGTAGAGCACTAGCCTTGAGCTGAAGAGCTGAGGGACAGCGCCCAGGTCCAGAGTTCAGGCCTCACAACCGGACCCAAAAAAAAAAAAATCTTTTGGAGCTTGATGCTGGTGGCTCCTATAATACTAGCTACTCAAGAGGCTGAGATCTGAGGATTGTAGTTCAGAGTCACCCCCAGACAGAAAAGACTGTGAGACTATTATCTTCAATAAACCAGCAGAAGGCCAGAAGTGGACATGTGGCTCAAGTGGTAGCTGAACAGCTTTGAGTGAAAAAAGGCCAAGAAACAGTGCAAGACCATGAGTTCAAGCTCCCCCCACCAAAAAATAAATGAATCTTTTGGAATTGGTCTCCTAAGACTCTTTATTACGTCCACTTTTTACCCTTACCTTCCTTTTAGCCTATTTTGTTGCTGTTTTGAACTCTTAACTGGCTAGTTTTTAAGCATCTATTCTGGTCTTGTCCAATCAACAGGCTTCAGGGCCTTCCAGACATTCTTCCAGTTTATTCCTACTCATTGTCCAGGTTTTAGCTGAAATGGCACTTCCTCAAGGGCACCACCCTGGTGTCCACTCTGAATAGGTGAGCTGTTCCCTAGCACTAGTCAAAGTTGCAATTTTACATTTGGGCCCCCCCCAACACTATAAACTCCATGACAGTAGGGACTGAACCTTTCTTTTTTTTTTCCATAAGTAAGCTTTACATTTAATATTTACTGAATGACATTATTTATACCCTGCTTCAATCTAAGCAAGCTAACGCCTGTCCTCTGGGCCACCATTATCTCTTGCACAAATTACTGTTATTTATCTGTCTTAAGCCTGCTTCCTTCCAGCATATTCTCTACATTTCAGCCAGAATTAGCCTTTAAACAAGCAAGTCCAACTACTTGTAATCCTTCATTACTCCTAATAAAGTTCAAACTCTTTTAACATGGCCTCTAACATGACAACTGCTAATTACCCAATGAATATTGTCCTCTTCGTCCTTAGTAACAAAACTCTGGTTTTGTCAAGACATCAGAGTGCCCTACCAAAAGGGCCACCCTGGCCTTCCCAGTAGCCAGGGTGCTTCTTGGACATCTGTTGGGTAGTGCAGATATCACATAGATGCACTGGCACTTCTTCAGTGACTTGAAAGGGTTGTCTTTCCAAAAGTGAGAATATCTAAAAAAAAAAAAAAAAAGAAGCCATGTCCCTGTCTATAAATAATGTCTGCATGTGAAACATTTCCCATGTTACTAAGTTCTGGCCAATGAGATAAAAGTGAGTGCTCTTGCTTAGAACTTCCAAAAATGCTTCATAAGGTAGAAATACATCTCAGGCTGTGCCTACTTTGCCCATCCCCCATTTTTTCTCCTGCTTCCTGCCTGTTTCAAAGTCGTGATGGTGACTGGGGTTTAGGCAGCCATGTTAAGACATGAGTAATCAATAAGCATGCAAGTTATGTGCCTGGTATGCCTGAGCAGAACAAGCCAAAAAGAAGCCTGGAGCTCAAGTAACTACAGAGCCTTATATTCTGGATAAGGAAATGTATTTTTATCTTTTAAGTCATGATCTCTTACTAGTAGTCAAATGGAAAGCTAATACAGGCTTCAAAGTATTTTACACTGTGATCTTTATCAATCTTACCTCTTTAGGTTCTCAAATTCAACAACTTAACCAAATAGAATGCTTTTCAGTTCTTATTCTCTCCATTCAGTCTTCACAAACTGCTCCTGCCTGGATGGTGCCCCTTTCCCTGCTGCTTGGCCTGGAAACCCATAATCATCTTTAGATCTCTGCTTAGAATCAGCTCTTCAATTACCATGTAAGTTAGCAAAAGATGCCCCTAGTTCCTGGTACCAAAGTAATACCTTATTATAGTACTTATTATACTGGGAACTGTGGTATTTACTTGCTTTTCTCTCATAGATAGTAAAATCCATGAGCTCAGGGACACTGCTTGCCCTTGCTCAGAACTATATTCCAACCTAGTGCCCAGCACTAGTATTCAATAAATATTCCTTACCAATAAATATTTCTTACCAAAACAAATGAGCAATTAGGGATACAGTACTGGTTAGAAAGCTAAGGACATATACAGGGTTTGATAACTATTGAAATGTGAAGGAGATGGAATGGTTGGTATATTATTATTTATTATTTATACCGTGCCCTGTCAAAAAAAACAAGGAGGCAGGATAGCTGGAGTAGCACACACCTCATTTAGAGTGCTAAGTTCATGTCCACTGAGAGACACTGGTTGAGGAAACGCTACTGGAAGACTACAGGACAGTTTGGAGGAGGGAGGAACGCTAAGAAGAGAAGTGCATCTTGTCCTATCTCATCTTCCATCTACTCAGTTGCAAGTCCTACCTCAGGAATAAACCAAAACTGGTGGGAGGGTTGCCGCAAGAAAAGGTTAGCAATAAAGCAGAAGGAGGTTAATTCCCAGAAAGATACAATATCCCCCCATTCTCCTTTCCCAGTGCCAACTGCTAGTGTGTGGTCTTCTCTCAGAGTGCTCTGGCTGGCCTCGGGTCTCACAGGGAGAACAGCCAGCTGTGTCCGTCTGCAGGAGGGACCCACTGCTAGCTGCAGGTTCTGGTCTCTGCCCCTCCATCACTCCTGTCCTCCTCTTCCTCATCGGACTGTGCCAAGGGTGTATCTGCTCCACCGTCACTAGGATTTGGACTGCGCATGTTGGTGGAGGAGTCAGAGGACAAGGAGGAGGTCCGGGATGTGGTCCTGTCTGGCGTGGGCACTGGTAGGCTCAGCTCCTCTGCATGGTCACCCACTCCTGCACAGAGAGAAAAGTGAGTCGAGGGTACAATATAAGGCTTTGTAGGACTCTTTAAAGAGATTATCTGGCAGAGAAACTGAAAGGAAGAGGAAGGCAGGTACTTGTCAAGAATTGCTTTGTTGACTCCCAGCTCCTCCTGAACACGTGCTTCAGCTTTGGAGTCAGGTCATCCAGGTAAGAGTTTGAGTTCTATCTACATCACCTGCTCAGAAGCTCTAGGCAAGTCATTTTCCCTCTCAAGAACTCTGCTCTTCCTGTTAAGGAAGGGATAAAATATAAGAATGTGTATGTAATGGCCAGCATAGTAGGCCATCAATAAACAGTAGTTTTGCCAGTAATCTTAGCTTCTGAGGAGCCTGAGACCTGGAAGATCACGGTTCAATGTCAGCTCAGGTAGAAAAATCATGTGAGTCCCATCTCAAAGTAGCCAGCAAAATGCTGAACTACAGGTATGGCTCAAGTAGCAGAGATGTGGCTCAAGTGGTGCCAGCTGTTAAGCAGAAAGCTGACTAAGAGTACAAGGCCTGAGTTTAAACCCCAATGTAGTTTCAGCTGGACTTTGCCCAGTATTGTTTTTCTGAAAGAGGGTCTTTCTTCTTGCTCTGTAGTTCAGGATGGCTTCAAATTCAAGGTTCTCCAGAGTCCCCAGTCTAGGCATCATGGTTACGTGCCACCACACCTGGTTCAGTAGCACTTGTAAATAAGAGATTATCTGCCTTAGAAGTTAAGCATATGGACTTTGTAGTCAGATAACTTTTCCAGTTTCTGGCTCGTAGTTGAACTCTGAGATGAATTTCCTTCGTATGTGTGTGTGTTGAATTTCCTTCGTGTGTGTGTGTTTTACAGTACTGTGACCAAACTCAGCTTTATGCGTGCTAAGCAAGCACACACACTGAGCTACATCCCCTAACTTCCTTCTTTATAAAATGAAAGGAAAGGAGCCTTGCACTGGTGGTTCATGCCTGAAATCCTAGCTACTCAGTAGACTGAAATCTGAGGATCATGGTTTGAAGACAGCTCAGGCAAGAAAGCCCATGAGATTCTTTGTCTCCAATTAGCTACCAAAAAAGCTAGAAGTGGAGGTATAACTCAAGTGGTAAGCACTAGCTTTGAGCACAAGAGCTCAGGGACAGCACCCATGCCTTGAGTTCAAGCTCCAGAATGTGTGTGCATACACACACATTGTGTGTGTGTGTATAAATAAATAAATGGAAAAGACATTGTTAAGTCCACTAAAAAAAATAGATATAGATTACCTTAGTACAGTACTAGGAACATAATAAATATTGATCAGTAAATATTATGGTAACTAAAAGTGCTCAAGTTATCTAATGGAAACACTGTATTTTACATTACTTTCACAAATATAAAATTTAAAACGCTAAGGAGTTTAATCATTCCTAGAGTTTTGGATTGGGGATTTGTAATCCAGTTCCCCTTAGAATCAACTTCCTTAAAACCAGAACAGGCAGCTCTTTTGCTGACAGAAATACCCACTTGCAGTTCCTCTGTGTATTTATTCTTCCCCAGCCCAGCCTGTTGGCCTCATTTCAGAACTCCAGTGAGCTCTGGCTTACTGGTGCCCCTGTCCCCAAAGAGAGGGACATACCTGATGTCTGGGGGGTTGGTGGAGGATCTTCACAGGGTAAGAACACATCTGCTCCATCCTGATCCCCAAGATCAATAAGTTCTACTTGCTCCAATGTGTCCACATTCACTTCCATGGATGAGATACTACCTATGGGGGCTGTGGATGAAGAAGGAGGTAAGTCAGGAGCACCCAGGCTGGGGCTGATGGGATAATCAGAGTTACTTGTCAGATCCCAAGTTAGAAGCAGACTAGGCCAAGAAAACAAGAGGAGGGGCAGTCTGCGAGATTCAAGACCCACAAAGCATCCTCTCTATCCTAACCTGATTTCACTCTTAAGGACTTGAAACTTACGTCTTTGTGACTCAAGATGCAGGTGGGACAGTGGGAAGACAAATTCTGTCTCTGGCTGTAAAATGTCCTCGAAGAATTTCTGCCGTTCTCGAAGGCGGAGCTGCTGGCGCTCCAGGGCTGCCCGAGGATTTGGATCCATATCAGCCCCTGGAGGGTAAAGGAGCAAGGCAAGTACAATTGTGAAGAGGAGAGAGACCAGGGAGGCCTGGGCTTTGGGAGCCCCACTGCAGCCAGCATCCCAACGTTGAAACCTCTGCTTCCAGCCTCTGACACCTCTGGCCTTGGCTGTTTTTTCCTCTTCTCTAAAACAAAGCCCTAAAACAATGCTCTAAAACAAATCTCAAGTGTCATGCAGAGGCAGGGTCTGCCCTAGCTCCACAAAGGGGATGCTGGTTCCAGGCACAGGGAAAAAATCCTCTGTGTTCAGGGAAGGCAGCCAATGGCTGTCAGTACCATGCCCTTCCAAGAGGGTCAGAGGAGCTGGTCCTGTTTTACTTAATGGACTCAGCTCCTCTCAGGAGGCCAGGGAAGAAAACAGAGATGGTAGGGTAGAGTCTCCAGTTCCTCTCCGTGCTGCAACTGTTTCCTTCACATCCTTTGCCCTCTTTTTCTGTATACATGTACCCCATCACCACTATTCCCTTCACCCAAAACCCAGACTTGGCTAGCACTAAGGAAATCATGTTTCTGGCCTCAGTCTCCCATTTGAAACAGCATAATCTTCCTATCTGCCTGAAATGCAAGATAGAACTCATCAAGGTGAGCTGTTCAGGGAAGGATCGTTCATCCCTTGTCAACACCTATTTGTCCTTTCCTCTGACACATCTGTCTTAGTTCCCTGCTCGTCAGTGAGGAGCACTTGGAAGGATGGGCCCTGGTTCTAATCCAGTCCAAGCCTCTTGAGCCCCTAGAAAGCTGAGAGCTTTCTAGAACACCAGAATTCTGGGCCAGCCTAGGCCCTGTGCATACACTGCCATCCACTGGTTCACTCCTGGCACTCGGCTCGGAGCCCATCACTGGGGGTAAGGACCAGATCATCATCCTCAGCCACCTGATACACAGCAACCCTGACCTGCTCCACAGGCGCTGGGTCAGCTTCTGGGGGACCCCAACTCGAGGGCCCGGTAGGGCCGAGGAAGTGTGGGGAGTCTGGCAGGGCTGGCCCGGAGATGGGAGGCGCTGACGCTGACTCCAGGGAAAGGTTTGGAGCTGCCGCCCAGGTCACGCTAAAAATACCCAGGGCCCTGGGGCCGTCTGCGTCTAGGAGCAGGGGGGGGGGGGGAGCTCCAGAGCTTGGGGGGAGGGGGGAAGGGCTCCGGGACCCCCCTCGCTTCTCCCTTCCCCGGCAGCCCACCGGTCGCACGAGATGGAAGGGGCTGCGCGGGGGTGGGGGTGGGGGCGCGGGGCCAAAGGCAGGAGCCCAGGATTGTTTACGCGACCATAGGTGCTGGGGCGACACGGAGAGATTTAGGGGCCGGAGCCGGAGAAATGGGGAACTCCCTCGCCCAGCCCCACCCGCCCCGAGTACCAAGAGGCACGAATTCCCAAAAAAGGGACGCGCCGCGCCGGCGGGAGGGAGGGGGACCCCCCATCCCGTTCCACCGGCCCCTCCGCGGCACCTGCGCCCGCCGCCGGGCCCTACCTGCAGCTCGGCCCCGCTGACTCAGTCTGTCCGCTCCGGCGGGGCGGCGGGGGCGTGGGAGCGGGCGCGCCGGCCGGGGTGGGGCTGCGCCTCCGGGTCCCCCGGGGACCCGCGGCCCTGGGAGCCGGGAGCGCGGTGGAGGCGGGCGGCGGAAGTGGGGGAGGGGCCCTCGCCCGGCGGCGGGCACCGGCGCCCGGCCCTCGCCCGGCGGCGGCGGCGGCAGCGGCAGGCGGCCCCCGGGAGCGCGACTACTTGGACTTGCAGGGCAGGCAAAAAGTTGCCCGCCCGCATCCTTCCTCGCTGCGCCCCGCCGCCCCCCGCCTCGGCGCCCGCGGCGGTGCCTTGGCGGCGCCCCCGCCCCGCCCCGCCCGGCCCCCGCACACTTGCTGCGCCCCGACGCCGGAGCGCCGCGCCGCGCCCCGCCCGCCACCTCGCCGCACTTGCCCCGCTCGCGCGCGCTCGGCTCCCCCAGGCGAAGGCGCTGGGGAACCTGCCGGAGCCGGGGCCGACCCGCTGCCCCCGGCCAGGCAGGGCGCTGACCCTGGAACTCACCCGCCAGACCCCGACTCCCGGCTCCGGGACTCGACACAGCCGCCGCCCAACCTAGCGGCGCAATGGGTGGGGGGCCGAGCGGGCCCGGGCTGGCGGGGGCGAGCCGCCGCGCCGCGCCCCCGGACGCCGGCGAGGAGCCAGCACCTCCCTCCCGCTAAGAGGGATGCTGGACGTCCAGCCCGGCGGGGTGCAGGGGCGCGGCGGAAACTGCCCGGAAGATGTTTGCCCCCTTCGCACCACCGCCCAGCCCAGTGCCAGAAGTGCTCAGTGTGCCAGTCTCTTCTCCCCCCCCCCCCCGGCCCCTCCCGTGTCTCCTGAGCTCCGTGGGCCTTGGGACCGGCCAGCGGGAGTGGGGGGAGGGAGGACAGGGATCTCCGTGCAGAGTGCAGAAGTGCTCGATCACTAAGTGATTTGTTCAACAAACATCCTCTGAACCAGACGGGAACTAGCTAGCGAGGAGTCATCCCTGGTACCTCCCTCTCCCTTGCCGCCCACATTAAAATACACCTCTTCCTGTGGATTCTTTCCTAAGCGTCTTTCCGACCCCACTATTCCTCTCCCTTTCACCATCCTCTCTGGCTTAGGGTCCCATTGTCTGGTTTTCCGGTACTCGCTCAGGCCCACCTACACAGCTTGGCCCGTTTAGAGCACCAGTCTGTTGTAATCCCCTCCACTGTCAAGAACAAAATCCAGGTGCTCGTGTTTGAACAGCTGGAATCTTGAAGAAATTAGTTCAACGAGGGAGGGAGGGGCGCACATGTGCATTTTAAAAGAAGAGTGAAAAGTCCTGTCACGCCCAGGTTTTCTTCTCAGAACAGCACAAATAAGTAAGTCATTAACTCTTGTATTACTGGGATTCAAAGCAAGCCTATGAGATAAACAGAACAAGTAGCTTTCCCACTGGTTTACAAGTGTGGAAACTGGTTTGTGTGAACCAGTGCATGAAGGGTTAAGAACAAGCATTGTCCAGACCTCTTAGGGCTGTAAATTTGACTGCAGCCTCTAGCCAGGAGCTCACACATTCTCTGACCTTTTATTTCCTTACATATAAACTAGGAATGATTAATCCCTATAGTTTATGAGATAATATAAAATGCTTAGTTTAGAACTTGGGCACTTGGAATATGCTCTGTAAACCTTCACTGTTTTGACTGTGATGAGTCTTGAGAAAGGTAAGGAACTGCTCTCTACCCCACATTTCTAAAATTATAGGAAGGGATCCCTCATAGTTAGCGCTTTTAGGGAGATTATAATGTGTTAGTCACTATTATAAGTGTTTTACATATATTCTTACATGTCACTCAAAAATCTGGTGAGGTAAGTGCTATTATTATGTCCAGTTTTCAGACAAAGAGAGATATAGGACTGGGTGCTGGTGGCTCACACCTGTAATCCTAGCTACTCAGGAGGCTGAGATCTGAGAACTGTGGTTCAAAGCCATCAAGGGCAGGAAATTCCATGAGACTATTATCTCCAATTAACCCACCAGAAAACTGGAAGTTATGCTGAGGTTCAAAGTGGTAGAGCACTAGACTTGAGCAGAAGAGCTAGGGGTAGTACCCAGGCTCTGAATTCAAGCCCCACTGCCAACAAAAGAAAATAAAAAAGAAAGTCATATTTTTCTCATTTTTAATCATTCCAAAAAAATATGAGGACTTCTATAAGGTTAGTAGAGGAGCTGGAATTTGAACCCAGGGGTAGGCTGCTTCAGAGACTGCTTGTAACCACTACTCACAGGCTTTTGCCTTGGTTAAGTTTCATCTTCCAAGTAATATTTTAGTAAGTTTGATCCCTCTTTCTCATTAGTGGATGGAATAAATCTGTGTTCCCATTTTCTGGCACAGAAGACTGAAGCCCAGTCAGGAGTACAGTGGATGAAGATCTGCTCCCAAATTCATCTCCCTTGTCTACCTGACCTACATTCCCAGTCCCATTTTTCTCATGTTTAATCACTCTAAAGGATAATTGCTTGGTTGAAGAAGTGGTCCAAGTTGTAGAGTGCTAGTCTAGCAAGCACAAGGCCCAGAGTTCAAATCCTAGAACTGAAAATAAATAACACTATTGTTTGCGTAATAAAAATAGCAGCAAAGTACTGTGGGTTTATAGCATATATTGTAAAAGAAAATGTGCAACAACAAATATAAAGGTGATAGGATGGAAGAACTAGACATGTGCTATTGTATGCTATATAGGAAGGAATACAATATTACCTGGAGATAAACTGAGGTTAATAAAGATACATATTGTAAATGCAAGAGCAATCACTAAAACTTTTTTTTTTTTTTTTGGTCGGTGGTGGGGCTTGAACCTGGGCTTGGGCGCTGTCCCTGCACTCTTCAGCTCAAGGCTGAAGTGCTCTACCACTTCAGCCACAGTGCCTCTTCTGGTTTTCTAGTGGTTTATTGGAGATAAGAGTCTCATGGAGGGCTGGGAAGGTAGCTCAGTGGTAGAGCGCTTGCCTTGCATGCATGATGCCCTGGGTTCGATTCTTTAGCACCACATAATCAAAAAAACCCCAAAAACCCAGAAGTGGCAAGTGTGGCTCAAGTGGTAGAGCGCTAGCCTTGAGCTGAAGAGCTGAGGGACAGCGCCCAGGCCCAGAGTTCAGGCCCCACCACCGGACCACCCCCCCCCCCAAAAAAAAAAAAGAGTCTCACGGACTTTCCTGCCAAGGTTGGCTTTGAACCGTGATCCTTAGATCTCAGCCTCCTGAGTAGCTAGGATTACAGGCGTGAGCCACCAGTGCCCGGCTTACTAAAACTTTTTTATAAGAAATATAAGCTAGCACTTGCCTAGTATGCATAAAGCACTCAGTTCAATCCCCAGCCATGAAAATAAAAGATACAATCAACAAGCTAATACAGGAGGTAATATAGAAGCCTAAGAGTATTGGAGTAGAGGCCAGGCCTAGTACACATCTGTATTCCCAGAGGCCATTGGAAAGA